GCGGCAGCGGCCGCCACAGTCTGGGCAGCTGGGAGCAGGGGGGATTTGCCATCGGAGACCAGAACTATGATGAGGCCGAGGTGAGGGCAGACCTGTCCTGGGGAGGAAGCCACTGAGACCCAACGCCTCTCCCGAAGGGTTTGTGGCTGTCTAAGATCAAGCAGCTGGCAAGATGAAGCACCCCGACTCTTACTCCTCACTACTCTGAGGTCTCTGCTTAACAGCGGCACCCAAAAAAGATGTTTTAGGTGCACTTACAGACTTGCTTTTTAAAAAAGTTTGTCAGAGGGTGTGTGTGTTTGCCAGAGAGAGAAAGCACCCTCTGATGACAGTGCCGATGTCACAATCCCTTCTCCGTCCTGTTGTATTTTGGGCACACACACAACGTGGGCTCAGTTTGATTTTTAAGCCTTAGAGGCAGGGATTTGAACTATGGTCAGCCATGTGGGATTGGCTCTCCTTAACCACTAGGCCATGGGGCTGGTCCCTAGACTTATTTCCTTAAAATAAACAGACACTCAAATGAGCTAAACGACAAGCGTTCCTCAAAAGCTTTTACTCTTCTTTTTGGCCAGCACTTTGGCTGGAATACTTTGCCAGGTGGCCATTTGAAACACATTTTTGTTTTCTTAAATAGGCGATTTATAACACTGGGAGGACTTCATTTCAGTGGTTCAGAAGACATGATTATCCTGGGAAGAGTTTACTCCACCACGACCCTGGGAAGTATTGGTGTTACCCTAATTTTTATAAGCCACCTCAGACAGACACTGAATACCTCAGATAAGACCGAAGTGCTTTGAGAGGGCAGTACAAACATTCTCAAAAACAAACAAACAAACAAACAAAAACAAGAGTTGTTATCACTGCTGGGAAGACTGATTTCTGAATCTTGGGCACCGTCATAGAGCTCAGAGGATAGACTGTCTCCTGTGTCCCACTCTGGCAGGGCCCTCCAGGATGGCTCCCTGGGTTGATTTCTGCAAGTCTTCTGGCCCAGGGCAGACCACGGGAGGAACGTGAACTTCTCTGATCAGCCCAGGACTTCATCGGCACCGTGGGACATGACCCATGGCTTTGCTGCTGAGTACGTCATCCTGGAAGGGCCTCCTCCATTGTTCCCAGAGAGCCAGAATTGGGCGCTTGGAGCTGTCATCGAATGAGTAACTTCTCCTTCCCCTCAATTAGCTGGTATCCGTGGGCAGAATACATGGACAGAGTTTTTGCAAAATTAAATTACTTTCTTAAAATACCATAAACATTATCACAGACAATGCTTTTTGGAAAAGTCTTTCCAATTTAGTTCTTAAAATTAACTTACAAGATGTTGTGCAAAAACAAACACCTCAAATAGGAAAAAAAAAAAAGAAAAAGTGGGCAGAGCGAAGTGTCTTTTTGTTTTTAAATTAAAAGTTAGAAACACCAGTTGCACATCAAACGTCGAAGTGCTTGCACGATGAAATGCCTCAAGAAGGCGGCTCGACACAGCCCAAGTCCGAGTTGCATTCCCAAGTCTGGTTCTGTGTTCAGAATTCACAATGGATGCCCCCGCTGAGATCCTTCACCACCCCGGCCCTGACCAGCTTGAGGAGAAACTCCGTCTCCCTCGTGACATTGTGCATGGTCTGCCAGTTCATGGCCGCCATGCACTGGTTGTTGAAGTAGTGCAGGGGCGTCCTGGGCTGCGTGAGGTCATACCCAAAACCCGCCAAGCTGACCTCGTCACACAGGTGTGTGGCCAAGACCACAGCGATGACACCGATGGTGGGGACATTCTGAAAAGAGGAAGAGAAGGTCAGAGAGAGGAGCAGCCTGCACACGACCCCTTGCTCTGCACGTACGCTATGTGTGACGCAGTCCCAAAGGCGACATTGGGGGCTGTAATTATTTGATATACATTGTCTTACGTATCACAGGATCTCGAAGTCTAATTTCATGCAAGTCAGAAATGTAGAATCTAAAACATGATCTGTGATGGTCTGCCAGTTCACCCTTCCCCTTCCCCTTCCCCTCCCTCCCTCCCTCCCTCCCTCCCTCTCTTCCTTCCTTCCTTCCTTCCTTCCTTTGCTAGAGGGTGCATGCACTCACCAAAGACAGCAAAGAGAAAAAGAGACAGCAAGGAACGGGAAGTGTCCCCCACCCCCGGAGAGAATGGTTACTCCAGGATCTCTCTTCCCCCAACTCTCCTGCCTTCGGGGATTTTGAGCACACATGCACATGTGTCCAAGGTGTTTCTCAGGCCACTGGATCTGGGACTCGAACTGAGCAGTTGGCCATGTGAAATCTACCAGGCCAAGAAGCCGAGCTGTGAATGCAACCTTAAGCAGCAGCCTGACAACCTTCTTGCACCAAGCCAAACTGTGTTCATTTAAAAACTTCTACCCACAGATCCTACCTACCATGTCCCAAACCACAGAACCGGCTCATTTCCTCTCTTGTGGGACAAATGTCTGTGAGGTCTGTGCTGGGATGAGGCCACAGGGCCGTCCACAGTCCTCCCAGGGCAGAGATCCTGGAGCCTGTCCCTCCTTGTGGGACAGGAACTGAGAACAGAGGCGCCTCTGCTACCAGGGATTCCGAGTTGCTCTCTAGCCGGGAACACTCTGGGCCATTTTCACATGGACAGCAGGGAAGACAGTTTCTTCCCACCCTCAGTCTGAGCAAGAACCTTTTCAGACTAAATGAAGGACTTTGCTGTTTGCTCTGCTTAAAAGATGTTCTGCTGACCTTGGATGCCCCTGCTGAGATCCTTCACCATTCCGGCCCTGACCAGCTTGAGAAACTCGGTCTCCCCCATGACGTTGTGCATGGTCTGCCAGTTCATGGCCGCCATGCACTGGTTGTTGAAGTAGTGATGTCCACGCCATTCTGGATTCTGACTACACCACCGCCCCTCCCGTCCTTGCGCCCGGTACCTGGCCGTGCCTCCTGAAACCGGCACCCGTGGCGCTGTGCTTTCTGGGTCTCCAAACCAGTACGTAGGACAGGCAGGGATACAGAACGGCCTGCGGCCTTCGCTGAAGGCTGCTTTGTATTCTTACATATCTTTTCATTCATTTTAGTCAAGTCTGTGGCTCATATAAACAACCTTTTTTTTTTTTTTTTTTTTTTTGGTAAATTGGAACAGCTTACAGAAACTTCCGTAAAGTGGACCCTAAGAACTTGTGGATTTCAGTGAGATTAGGGAACATCTACTGAACACCAAACTGCTCCCTGCTTCTCAGTGTGCCACACCCACCTCCCAAAGTCAGCCTCATTCACTAAAAAGGAACTCGGCAGTCATTCTGCATGCTCAGAAATAGAAAGCAGGGGACCAGCAGTTAGCGTGATGGCTATGTCGCTGGACTCCCAAGTAGTCAACCGCGGTTCGCGCTCTGGACTCGGTGGCTTAAAACTCATGCCAGGCGTGTACACGTGTGTGCCCAAGATCCTGAGAGGAGAATGGAGGAGAAAGAATTGCGGTGTGGCCATCCCCCCTGGGGGTGATTTCTCGCTTTCTGTCTCTCTGTCTCTCTCTGTCTGGCGAGCGCACGCGCCCTATAGCAAAAATCTCTTAAAAAGAAAAAGAAAAAGCTGAAGGAATGAAGGCAAAGGAAGCTTTCTTCCTGGTTCACCCCTGACTCTAAGGCACCACGCTGTCTCCTTGACCTTGTATCTTCTGAGACCAGCCTGTCACTCAGCCACAGGGATTACTCAATGTGTGTACAAGGAACATGTGAAATCAACTATTCCTAGCGGTAACGTAGGGAGAAATCTCAGAAACTATTTAAAACTTCCCAAAGTGGTCAGCCAGGTGGTGTGGAGGTTAAGGCGCTGGATCCATGGCCGACTACATGGTTTGAGTTCCAGATGCAGCAGCCCGAAAAAACATGAAAAGCACGTGTGTGTGCATGCCCCAAATCCCACGAGGAGAATGAAGGAGAAGGGACCGTGGCATGGCCATTCAACCTGGGGGGTGATTTCTCACTTTCCCTCTCTCTGTGTCTCTCTCTCTCCACCGAGAGAAAGCACCCTCTAGCAAATTAAAACAAAACCCAAGCCCCCTCCCCAAAGCACTGTCATATACCCTCACGGTTACACCAACTTATTTTCTGACAGCCCTCCCTCTGGAAGACACACACGTGAGGATGTCTCCAATAATGCAATTTTAGACCATTTTAGACCATAAGTTCTTTTTTCTTGAGAGGTTTTTGCTACAGGGTGTGTGCACTCACAAGAGAGACAGAGATAGAAGGCGAGAAATCACCCCCCAGGGGGGATGGCCATGCCACAATCCCTTCTCCTCCATTCTCCTCTCGGGATCTTGGGCACGCACGCACACGCACCTGGTGTGAGTTTAAGCTACCGGGTCCGGGACTCGAACTGTGGTCGACTACATGGGAATTCAGCGACATAGCCATTATGCTAACCGCTGGTCCCTAGACCATAAGTTCTTAAGTTACTGTCTTTTACCCAATATAAGATGTCATTTTATCACTATTATTATTATTTTAATTTGCTATATGGCTCATGTGTTCACCAGAGAGAGACAGAAAGGGCGGGGGGAGAAAGTGGGAAAGTACCCTCTAGCGGGGATGACCATGCCACAATCCCTTCTCCATTCTCTTAGGATTTTTGGGCATACACACATGTACACAGGTGCCTGGTGTGTTTTTCAAGCTGCTGGGTCTAGGACTTGCACCACATAGTTAGCCATGTGGGATTCAGCTGCCCTAACCACCATGCTACTCAGCTGGCCCCATTTTACTAATTAGAAAAATAAATATTAAATTCAAATAATATAACTTTTATTATTTATTCTGGATTGTCAAGTATAAAAATAAGTCTTCTACAGACAGACGCCCCCTTCAAAGAAGGGCACTCTTCACAGTTTCCCAGGTTTCTTCTGTGCATGTGTAACTAAAGAAACACATGCACACATTTTTATTTTTAAACAAAAATGAGATCATATTAGTGGTCTACATCTTAGATTTCTTGCTTTTCATTTTTAATATATTTTGGAGGTGTTATCCACTAGGTTTCCCTCATCCATAACAGACTATAGTGCATTGATTATATCATAATTCACTTAAACAACCCCAACAATAATGATGTCTAGGCTGTTTTTAGTCTTTTGCTATGAAAGCTATAATAACATCTTAAAATATACTTCTTTCCAGATTTCTCTAAACTCCTTTAAATACAATTGTAATTATAAGGTCAGAGATGATTCATATTTAAAAATGGTTCATATAGTCAAACTACATTCCAATAAAAGTGCCAACTATCTGTCATTTTACCTATACTAGGACATTATCAAAATTTAAAATCTTTGCTAAAAAATGCAACTGTGAGAGGCCAGCAGGCGGCATGGTGGTTAAAGGTGCTGAACTCCCACGTGGCTGACCGTGGTTTGTATCCCAGACCTGGCGGCTTGCTTTCTCACTCCCTCTACCCCCTTCCTCTCTCTCTCTCTCATTCTGTCCCTCTCTGGTATGTATGTATGTATGTATAAATAAATAAAGTTAAATAAGATCATTCTTTTTAAAAAATGTAACTGTGGCTTCAATTTGCTTTTACATGATTACCGGTGAACATTTAATCATACATTCTTTGGCTTTTAAACTTTCTTTAGTGAAATGTCTGTTTATATCTTTTGCCCATGTTTTATTGGCTCGTCTTTTTCTTTTTGATAAGAGTTCTTTGTCTGTTAGGAGTACTTACTTTTTCAAATATGTGATATATTCTGTTTAAGAAAGATTTGCATACAGGTCTTAAAAGTTTTAAAGATATAGTCCAGTTATTCAGATCCTGAAGTCACAAGTAATACTTGCATCTTCCTCTTGCCCCCTGGTGGCAGCACATACTAATTGCAGGTAAAGAATCTATTGCAATGAACAGTCCAGAGCATAAAAATTAGGCTGCAAAATAAAATCACTAGGGGAATTTTGAAACTCTCAAAGTAAAAGCCACGGCACAGACTAATTAAATCAGAACGTCTGGGGTAGGACCCAGCATCAACTTAAAGGACTGTTCTAGAGGACTAACTTTATTTACCATCATCTATAAGTGACAATGAACATTGATTCTTACTCAAGTGGCCCAGAACTAAAATCTAAAGAACTTTTCAGACTATCGAAGTGCCTTTCAGTGTCCTGCAGTTATATGGAGTCTTAGATACTAAGAAAGACTACAATAATAATATCTGACATGTGTTAATGTGCTGAATATACCAGGGAGGAGTCACAGGGTGAGAAAGCCAATTAAACAATAAGAAGTCTGCCCTGCAGTCAAGATGCAGAGTGAAAGGCACACATGGACTGTTTAATCAATAACTAGGTTTCTCTACTGTAGGTGCTTCTAGGTATATAGTTAAGTCCAAGTAAAATTTGTACACATCTTTCCTAGAATAGAGATAAGAATAGTTAACTTTGAGTAGCAAAACAAAAAATACCTTATCTCGGCCCCAGAATCTTGACCGAGGCTTTGAGTATTGAAGAATGTCAAAGGCAGTCTCTTTGATAATAACTGGATTCAAAATTCTGAAATGTTTCGGCTGTAGTGGAATTTTTTCTGCCACCTGCTTCCAAAAGAAGAGTCGCACCCAAAACGGCTAAGGAAAGAGAGCAAGCAGTCATTAAGAATACTTAATAATATGATCTCATCAGTAGAGGGTGAAAAGTATTCCCCACTAATCAGGCCAAGACCATGTGACTCCACGTGGTCTGTGAGCTGCATATATATATATGTATGCAAATCCCAGTACCTCAACTTAACAAAAGTAACCCTAAAAGATCCTACTTACGAAGGTGATATTGGACAAAGAGAGCTATAGAACCAGCTCTTATGTGGTTGAGGAAGAAACTCCTCAGAGAATAACCTGAGATAGTAGGCCTTTTCAGGATCTAAAGCTATTACTTTGTCCAGGGAAGACCAAGTGGATAGGTCCAACTGAGGAGTATGAAGTGTTGTGAGTACCCCACCACATGGAGCCCTGGCCCTTCATCCTCTCTTCACTTACTCTATCTCCAATGCCCATGACATCTCTTGGCAACTGACCACAAGTCATTTTATATGTCTTGTTGCTTCCAACTAGAACATCTACCCAACAGAAAATTTAGAAGACTGTGATCACCTGTATCATGGTTCAGCACACGCAACATATGTAAAAATTCTATTATGAGGGGACTTCAAGAAATGAGTAGAAAAGTAAAAACAGGGACCAGCAGATGGTGTAATGGCTATGTTGCTGGACTCCCATGTAGTTTACCGTGGTTCAAGTCCTAGACCCAGTGGCTTAAAACTCACATGAGTTGAGTGTGTATACACATGCCCTAGATCCCGAGAGGAGAATGGAGGAGGAGGGATTGCAGTGTGCCCATCCCCTTGGGGGGTGACTTCTCACTTGAGAGTAAAACTCTCTCTCTCAAATAAAGCAAAGAAAAGTGAAAATAAAGTATGAGTTTATTTTGGTGCAAATAAAGTGAAATTTGTGTCTCTTTTTTCCTATGATACACATTTTCCACGATATCTCTGAAAATCCCTCATGTATCCAATACATTCGTTTCACTAACAGTGTTCAAGCATGTTTACATAAATGGGTACATAGTCCTCGACAGCTGGCCTGTGGAATCTATTTACATTTAATGGGTAGGACTTTAAGTAGTGTGCTTGATTATGTTAAAGCTAAACAAAAGGAACATGACTGCATGAAGAGCATCCCTTCCACATTTGCGTCTCTGGATTGCTGTAAATTTATTTCAACAAGGAGGCTACTGATCAGAAAATTTTCAGAAACTCCCTGGGAATATTCCTTAGAAATTTTATGTATAATCTCTGGAATATACCCAATACTGATTTATATTCATCCAAGTAAATTTAATTTGTAAAACTAGTCAAAAGCCATGGAAGTTTGAGTATGGAGAATAAGATGGGTGATCAACCTCAGTAAGTAATTTTGGTCTCAAATTTGATACTCCTATTAAGCAATAATCTCATTCGGTAATGATAAATAAATTTAGATTTTAAATAATTATTTTACTTATCATTATTACTTTTTAATTTGCTGCAGGGCACGCATAAGAGTGAGAAAAAGTGGGAAAGCAAGATGTCAGATCTGGGACTTGAACCAAGGTCAGCCATGTGGGTATCCAGTGCCTAAACCACTAGGCCACCTGCTGTTTAAATCAATGAATTCTTAATCAAGTTCTGAAACCAATTTGCAACAGGGAATTCTTTTTTTTTTTTTTTAAGAATTATTTTATTTAACTTTATTTTAATTTGACCAGAGAGAGAGTAGGAGTGGGGAGTAGTGAGCAAGCAAGTCACCAGATCCAGGACTCAAACCATGGTCAGCCATGTGGGAGTCCAGTGCCCTTAACTACCACACCACAGGGAATTCTGCTGCCCTGCAATAGGGAATTCTGAGGGATTTCTACAGAGACAGTGGTCATCATTTGAAAGGCAACCCACTCTGCTGTGCAAGTTTGAAACCAAGTCTGTAATGACAGTTAGAGATTTCTTCACTGTTTACTAAAGTACAATTGACAGATGAATTTCTAGTGCTTACCAGGGTTTCATTTTTTACCATTGCTTGAAGCCAATTGAAGTCAACACTCTTAAACAAAACAGCAACAAACAAGTCATTGGAATCATATTCAAAGTCAGACAGCGGAGCGCCCTCTGGATAAGTCATCCTTATGGTAGTTTTATTTCCAACATGTTCTGCATAACCTTCAACTGGTGCACTGTTTAGCCTGATTAAATAAAAAGGACAAAGACGCAGTGACCAAGCAAGCCATCAACTATCTTATACTATGCAACATCTCATGTCACGTTCTCCACAATTTTTTTTAGGACTAAGAATGATTGAGTATGCGGTTGAAAGTGGGCCATCACTTCAGGAAATCCTGTTGCTCCTTTCCAGGTGTTAATGAATACAACCTTCAGCCTATGACAGAACACTCATACCTATTCATTCCTGAACATCAAGCAGTTTCATCTTGTCCTGATATTTCAAGTCAATCCAAATGTGTTACATTTTGGGCTTTCTCCAAGAGCTAGTCAAGTTCCCTTGAAGACTTCCCATTGCGCTCAGATAAAAGTGGCTCTTGCCAGAATTTCTAAATGGGAACCAGAGAGGGAAACCCAGAAATAACTACAGTTCTGGAGGGGAGACCAAAGAGGTGCCCAGGCCCCACATGCAACCTGCTCTGAAAGGACTTGGGGCACTTACAATGTTAGGTCAGTGATGGTTTCACCAGGGCAGTTGGTTAGGGAGAAATTCTAAGAATCTTTCTAAAAGCAATACCTCTCTGCCCATGTTCACAGTTTTGAAAACTCATAAAAAGTCCCTTCAGTTCTTTGCCTGCATTGTCACACCCATATCTAACCTTTCTCCCCTATCTCGTAGTCACTTCCTCTTCTAGTTATCAAAGTCCCAACCTCTGGGTTATTAAAAAATTATTACTAGACATGATAACTAAATATGAGACATTTCTTCTTTTCTTTCTTCTATATATAAAGGTAAAGTAGATTATTGAAATAACTGGTGAGATATAAGGTCTGCAGATAAGTTCTGTATTGTATTAATCTGTATGAATAGATTAATAAATTACATGAATTGGAATAATTTCTTTTTTTAAATTTTCTTTGAAAGAGATTTTTGCTATAGGGCATGTGTGCTTGCCAAAGAGACAGAGAGACCGAAAGCAAGAATCGCCCCCTACCCCCCACCCCAAGGAGGGATGGCCACACCACAATATCTTCTCCTCCATTTTCCTCTCAGGATTTTGGGCACAAACACACACACACACAAACGCACTTGACGTGAGTTTTAAGTTGCCAGGTCTGGGACTCAAACTGTGGTAGACTATGTGGGAGTCCCACAACATAAAGTCCACCTGCTGGTCCTAGAATAATTTCTTAATTCTGAATGTCGTTCCTTGGTTATAAAGTAGAATGTCCTGTTCTTAGGAAATGCACACTGAAATATTTAGAGGCAAAGGGGCTTGATATCTGCAACTAGCTCTCAAAGGGTTCCAGAAAACAAAGCAGTTATCTATGAAGGGCCTTCAAAAGTTCGTGGAGGAACCAGTAGTTAGCGTTATGGCTATGTCGCTGAACTCCCATGCAGTTGACCACGGTTCGAGTCCCAGTTCCAGTGGCTTAAACTCACGCTGGGTGCATGTGCATGCATGCCCAAGAACCCGAGAGGAGAACGGAGGAGAAGGGATTGTGGCATGGCCATACCCCCAGGGGGTGATTTCTCACTTTCTGTCTCTCTGTCTCTGTCTGTCTGTCTGGCAAGCGCACACACCCTATAGCAAAAACCTCTCCAAAAAAAAAAAAAGTTCATGGAAATGGTCTATTATGAAGAAACATGCATGGATTTCAAAAATTTTGTCCACTGATCCCGAGAGGAGAATGGAGGAGAAGGGATTGTGGTGTGACCATCCCCTCTGGGGGGTGATTTCTCGCTTTCTGTCTCTATGTCTCTCTCTGTCTGTCTGGCGAGCGCACACGCCCTATAGCGAAAATCTCTCAAAAAATAAAAATAAAATAAAAATTTTGTCCACCAAAATAAATTAAACTTTAATTCCATTTCCATAAACGTTTTGAAGCTCCCTCATATAGGGAAAATTATAAAGCGAATGTGATAAAGTATTATTTACTAGGGAATGTGGGAGAAGGTAAATGGGAGCTCTTTGTACTAATCCTGAAAACTTCTCTGTTAAGTTTGAAAATGTTTTAAACTTAAGTTATTAAAACAGAAGAAAGTTAGAGACCAGCATATAGTATAATGGTTACAGCACTGGACTCCCATGTAGCTGACTGGGGTTTGTGTCCTGGACCTGGTGACTTGAAACTCATGTTGGGTGTGTGTGCGTGCATGCCCAAGATCCCGAGAGGATAATGGAAGAGAAGGGATTGTGGTGTGGCCATCCTCCTGAGGGGTGATTTCTCACTTTCTGTCCCTCTCTCTCTCTCTCTCCAGTGAGAGCATGTACCTATAGCAAAAATCTCTCTCTTAAAAAAAAGTTATAAAAAATTTAAAATGGGGACCAGCAGTTTTCGTAATGGCTATGTTGCTGGACTCCCATGTAGTTGACTACGGTTCGCGTCCCGGACCCAGTGGCTTAAAACTCACGCCAGGCGCGTGTGTGCCCAAGATCCTGAAAGGAGAATGGAGGAGAAGGGATTGCGGTGTGGCCATCCCCCCTAGGGGGTGATTTCTCGCTTTCTATCTCTCTGTCTCTCTCTGTCTGTCTGGCAAGTGCACGCGCCCTATAGCAAAATCTCTCCAAAAAAAGAAAAAAAGTGTTTTGTTTTTTTTTTTAAAATGAAAAAGCTTGTTAATTCACCTTCTCCTCCCTAACCAGGCTCAAAGCTACCCCTTCTCTGACCCCAGGACTCCACATTCTCCCAGTGCGCAAGCAGGAAGTCCATGTTTCTGTCTAGCACCTGTCATCACTGGGCATGGAGCCATTTTTCCATGTCCTTTCTGGCTCTCCCAGGACCCTGCTGCTTCCTGTCAGGTGGGAAGAGGCCTCCCTTTTATTCCATGCACATCTCTCCTGGGGCCCAGGGTATACTTCACAGCACCTCTGGTCTCCTCTCCTGTCCCATAGGTCAGTCACCTGCTATTGGATGGGCATGGGTCATGACCTTGCCTCCCCTATTCCTATCATTTACTTTTCAGTTTGCCTCTCAGATTTGATTTTTAATCACTATTTCTACATCCTTCTTCTCACACCAGGGCCTGCACTTTGTGTCCTGATGACTATCAGGTTGTTGGGAAAGTCGGGATGTATTTTTCTATGCAAAAATGAGTTATGACCTTCCCAGCAACCCAATATAAGCTCTAAACCCAGGTCCCATCCTGGATCTCTCCTGCCTTCAACTGAACCCCCACCTTTGCTGGACATGTTTAAGGAAGACCTAACTCTCATCATGGCCCTGGCTCAACCACACCCTTAACATGGAGATAATTAACTTACTAGTATGTATCAAGGGCCTGAAAAACATCCAAACATCTCGAATCCAAGCCAATGACTTGACTTTAGGCAACTTCTCCAAGGAAATAATTAGAGACGCATAAAGGCGTTATGTATAAGAATATGCAAAGCATTTTCACAATAACAAAAAGGGCAACATTCTGAATATCCAGCAACAGAATAACAAAATAACTTCTAATACCTTCATATAAAGGAATCTTACACACTTAGCAGAATTAGTTTTCCAAAGAATACTTAGTGGTCACAAAAACGATTCATAACATTAAGCTCAAGAAAGCAAAATATTTTATAAATATTTAAGTACACTGATAAGTATGTGTATAGAACAAAAATGGGGTGGGGAGTGCAAATAAATAGTGGCTGCTTATTTCTACTAAGAGTGGTTTGTTATTTTCTTCTTTTTATTTTTCTATATTTTTCCAGTCTTCAGTCATGGACATCTCTTACTTCAATAATCAGAAAAACAATCTTTAAACAGCAAAACCAAGAAGAATCTAGGATGACTGTCCACTGCCTGTCATGGTGGGTTCCAGTTCCTCTGAGCACTTCCTGTATCCCAGCCACGGCTGCCTCTGGGGAGCCCTGACCCCAGTCCCCGCCCCAGACTCAGTTCCCCTACCGTGTCCTCCTCCTGCCCTGTCCTGCCCTTCATAGTCTTCCTCCTTTGCTGGCTTCCTTGAATCAGCCCATCTTTCCAAACCTCACCTCCTCTGGTAAGGTCTTGCCAGTTACTACAGTCCACAGTATGCTTCTCAAATTTAAGGTCAGTATGACTCAGATTTAAGGTCAGGACACATCTGATCATTTCATGTTTTCAACTTTCAATGAGAAAGTCCCTTGAGGGTAGGGTCCAGACGGAGCTTCCTGCATCTCTTACTGACACTGGAGCTACAGTGACCAAGAAAAAGGGGCTTCGTTCTAGCGGAGAAAGGCTGGTTTTCAAAGCCACATACCTAATCACAACGTCAAACTGGTTCAGGGCACGGCCCAATCCCAGTCCATGCAATATCCCACCACTTCCGATAACCACACAACGCCGGCATGTCTTGGTTTTCAAGTGTTCAGGAAGGTCGTGCTCAGGCAATATTTCCAAGAGCGTCTGGACTTTACTGGAGAACTTCCGGAACCCAAAGGGAGGATTATACTTGTCCTCAGCTTCACGTTCTCTGGGGTCCTTCTGCACAAAAGGCAGTAAGTCCACGTTATACCTGTGCTCAAATAACAGAGCCATGGATGTCTTCGCAAAGTTGTTCCTGCTGCAAGATTTGATGGGCATATTTCTGGGCTCTCTGAAATAGAATCACACCAATTCGAGTTTAGAAACTCCTCCACAATGTCTGATATAGCTCTCTTGTAGAATATTGTTTTTGTTTGTTTGTTTTTGTAACACAGAGCGTTTGCCTTTTAGAGTTCATTTATGCTCAGAAATTGGAGAAAAAATCTGAGAGGATTACATGACAAGGAGATGAACTCAGCGAGGGTACTTCACTGCATGAGTGACTCAGGAAGGACCCCTACCTCCTACCCTGCCTGCCACTGTTCAACTAAACCTGGCATGAAGGTTTAGGTGTTGAAGATTTCATGTTTCATAAAATTCTGACACATGCTACAACACAGATGAACCGTGAGGACATTATGCTAAGTAAAATAAGCCAGTAACAAAAATACAATTACTGTGAGACTTCACTAGCATGAGCTATCTAAAACAATCGAATTCATAAAAACAGAAAGTAGCATGGTACTTACTAGGGATGACAGAGATGGGGAAAGGGAAGTTGTTCAATGCACAGAGCTTTGGTTTTTATAAGACAGAAAAGTTCTAGAAATTTGTTCTTACCACAATGTGGGTATACTTCAACACTGTTGGACTGTACATTTTAAAAGTTTTTTAAAACACACACACACGCACACACAGAGTTTTATATTTCAGGTTCCCCTCTAGCAGGATGAGAATTGGACTCATTCATCCATTGGGAAAATGAGCTTCCTACGCCATGGAATGTAAATTAGCGTGCAGTGTAGTCAGAGAACAAACTCCCGTTCAGATGCGCTTTCCCGGCATGTTTTGCACTGGCAAGAAACAGCTGCTGAAAGCCAAGCACACTGGCCGGGCTGCATGCAAAAGCCATGGGGGGATCTGGTACCAGTGCCCACTTGCACTGGGCCCAGTACGGCCCCAAGCCCCATCTCCCTCTGGGCCCAGTACGGCCATTCTCCCTAATCTCTGCACTTTGGGCTCTCCACGTTCAGGACCTTCTTCCACTGAGCTACCTTTGTGTGTAGGGTCGTATATTTACTAGAACATTTATTTTTAGGAATTTATCACATCTTTTGAACTATGTCAGCAGCATTATTATGAAGATTATTATTGTTGTATGGTTGGTCATGTGCTCTCTGGAGAGGCACAGAGTGAGAGAGAGGGAGAGAGAAGCGCCCCCTATGGGGGATGCTCATCCCTGCCTGTTCTTGGCCGTTTCTCTCTCTCAGCAGGATTTTGGTCACGCAACGCAACCCACTGTGTTTTTCAGGCCACTCACTCCAGGACTAGACCTGCACAGTCAGCCATGTGGGACCTACCTAGCCATGGAGCCAGCCCTACTGTTGTAGAGTCAAACGTGTTTGCTCCAATTACGTTTTTTCTCAAAGCCTTATTATTTATTTTGTGAATGTTTTTCTTCATAATAGAGTCCATGTGTATACATGAGAGCAAGTGAGCGAGCGAGAGAGAGAGGGAAGCACCCTCCCCAGGATTTGGTCAGTCCTGGGCACTTGCACCCCTGTCTGAGTGTTTCAGGCTGACTAGGACAAGTATTTGAACTGCAATCACCATGTGGAATCTGGCTTCTTGAGCAGTGCATTGCCACTGTGCCATAGAGATGGCTCGTTATTTTTATCATCTGATTTTTTAAAAAATATATTTTTATTTGTTATTATCATTCTTTTCCATTTGATGAGAGAAGGGGAGAGACAGATAGAGAAAGTGAGAGAGCAAGCCACCAGGTCTGAGACTCGAACCAAGGTCGAGTGTTTAGCACCTTAATCACAATGCCACCTGCCAGCCCCTCATCTGATTTTTAAATACAATTTCAAAGGAACACATATATCCTATTACAGCACCCCACATTTTTTGAGTGACTTTTACTATTGGGCGTATGGACTTGCCAGAGAGACAAAGACAGGGAGATGGAAAAGTGAGAATTCACCCCCCAAGGGGGATGGTCACGCTGTAACCCCTTGCCCTCCATTCTCCCCTTGGGATTTTGGGTATGCACACACACATACTCCTGGTGTGAGTCTCAAGTTGTCTGTAACGCCTTGCCCTCCATCCTCCTCTTGGGATCTTGGGTATGCATGCACTCACTCCTGGTGTGAGTCTCAAGTCACCTGGTCCAGGATGTGAATCATGGTTGGTCAACCATGGCCATGCGGGAGTCTAGCATCTTAACCACTATGCCATCTGCTGGCCCCCTGCCAAACATTTTTGAAAAAAATATATCTTCAACTGTTGACTAGTGACAGGACCAGCAGTTAGCACAATGGCTATGTTGCTGGAATCCCATGTAGTCGACCGCGGTTCGAGTCCCAGACCTGGCAGCTTAAACTCACGTCGGGCGCGTGTGCGTGCGTGCCCAAGATCCCAAGAGGAGAATGGTGGAGAAGGGATTGTGGCCAACCCCTTGGGGGGGGTAATTTCTCACTTTCTGTCTCTCTGTCTGTCTTTCTGGCGAGTGCACCTCTCAAAAAAAAGTTGACTAGTGATATTCCGACAAGAAGCCATTTTAAAGCTGAGGTGTGTCCTGGCGATTTCAGGGAAGCCATGCTCTAAACCCATCTCCTAGACTCCCCAAATACTCAGACAAGCACTGTGGAGGACAGATTTTGTCACAGAATGACCAGAAACAACCACAGAAGCACAAGAAACATGAGATACCAAGAAAATATCTCTACCCTAAGGGAAAAGAACAATTCCTCATCAACCACAGACAGTACAGTAGAATTCATGGAAATGTCTGATAGAGACTTCAAAATATTCATAGTGACAACACTAAAAGAGATCCAAGAGCTGAGAGATAATGAACTCCAGAAGATGCAGGAGAAAAGAGACAAGTTCCAGGAGGTGTTGAAGTTCTTGCCCGATCTGAAAGAGGAAATACACACCATAAAAAAGAATCAAATGGAGCTATCAGAGATGAAGGCTGCCGTTCAGGAAACCAAAACCTCCCTCGAAAATATTAAAAACAGATTAGTCTATGCAGAAAATCGAATCTCTTTGTTGAAGGCAAAACCTCTGATCTAGTAAAAACAACCAAAAAACTGAGAAAATAACCCCCATAAATGAGAATTCTATACAAGAAATACTAGACAGCATTAAGCGCCCAAACATTTATCAATATCCCAGAAGGTGAGAAAATGAATAAGGGCATTAATAACCTATTCCATAAAATCTTGGAAGAAAACTTTCCAAATCTAAAGAGGCATTCAAATATCCAGACCCAAGAAATACAAAAGACTCCTAACAGAATCAACCCAAGAAGATCTTCTCCAAGGCACATCATAGCCAGACTGGCCAAATCTACAGACAAAGACAAGATAATAAAATTGGCAAGAGAGAAATGTCAGTTACTTATACAGGTTATCCCATCAGGCTAACCTCAGACATAAGAAACAATGTGAACAAGGAAAGAATGGGAAAATACATTCAAAGTGTTAAGTGAAAAACAGTTTCAACCAAGAATACTATACCCAGCAAGATTATCTTTCATATGGAAAGAAAGAATAAAAATATTCTCAGATAAACAAGACCTGAAAGAATTTGCCAGTAGCAGACCCCCTCTTCAAGAAGTTCTGAAAGGAATGCTCTACCAGGAAAACTAAAGGTACATACAGAAATAAGAGAACAAAAGGCAACCAGGAAAACGACCAATTTAATGCTAGGGTCACGAAATATCGATAATAACATTGAATGCTAACTTCCAGGATTTAAATGGAAAGACTGGACCACACTAACACTGCATATTCAACAGAAGAATGTTTGAACACTGAACTGGCAAAATAGAATTTTATGACTTTTGAGTAAAACATTACTGATTTTTTTTTTTTTACTATGCTTTGTTTTCCCAATTTAAAGATTTTACTTTCTTTTGAGTTGTTGATAGGTT